CAAATTACTGTTGACGGCGGTCGGGAACGGTATGTTCCGATTTCTGAATCAAATTGTATTATTAATAATTCTGGACCCAAGATTTCAGGTGCTACAGAACTTTAAAATATACAATTAAATATGGGTCATTGATGATATCATAATATTATGCAGTGAAATGTTTATGCAATAACACAAATTGCGTGTTATTATTTACTTTACACAATCTTTTTTTTTAAATATTTATATTAATCTTAAGCAATTTTAAATATAAATAAATAATGAATGAGCGTTTTGAAAAATGTATGGTCATGAAAATTAAATACAGAATAATTCATCAAGCAGGATCTCCCCTATTTTTTCTACAATAATGAAATTATTCAAATACTGATTTTTGATATTTTTAAATGTACTCAAACTATGTTTTAAATTCTTGGATTTTTTTTTTTTTTGAAAAAACAAGGTAAATAAATTAACTGTAGTTACTTTGTTTATCTGTCATCGTATTTTCTTAAAAGGTTAACATTGGTAAGGTAGATAAGTGCTTTATTAATCATCTTTTATCAGATTAATCCTATATTTCCATTTTCCAAATATCCTTTCGCATATAAAAAAATTAAAAACTATTAAAAAGTACTTATTATAATAGGAAGTGAATTTGTGATTCATATACACGTGTATAATATACTTATCGTAAATAAATACATGGTAATATAGAATGTATCATTATGACATTATATATATTTATATATCAACTATCGAAATTGGATACTGATTTATTATGAACTATCGTATACTAAAAAGAAATTAGTAAATAATAATACAGTGCTTCAAAAAGTTTTTAAAAAACATATATTATTACGCGTTGGATAAAATATAGTAGCTAGGTACGTACATTTGTGCAAATAAACGGTTCAAACGTTTTGAAACATAATAAATACCCTGCATATTTTAATTAAATATACGTCATATAATATATTAGTAGTAACTACCTAGTATTTATTTTATATATTTTACAATAATTATTATTCAATTTAATAAACTGAAAACCAAAATATACAGTAAGGTGCAAACATTTAATTAACAAATAAAATATTTATAAAATGTCACCTGTTCCAACTTTTCAACCATCGTCCATCAAGAACATTAATTAGTTAAAAAAATTACCTACAAATGGAAAGACAAATGGAATTTTTATAAGTATTCGTGTGGTTATAAACATTGCAGCATATAAGCATTTCAACTGTTCGTAAATTAAAATTATAATAAATGTCTACAATTTTTTTTTTGTTACAATTTTTCTTAAAATATTCTCAAATTCGTTCAATTTTTATAAATTATTAAGGGTCAAAAAATTAATATCAACAATTACTATAATATTTTTATAGCCTCCCAACTCTCAAATCTTTTAACATGGATATTATCTATCTTAATTCCTAAAAGTAGTAAATACACAAAATTCAATAATTAAAAAAATACTCGATCGAATTTCAATTTTGATATCACAACATTTTCAAAAAGAATAAAATGTATTAATTTATTAATTAACTAAGATGAAAAGTAGTTCTCAAATGAAATAAATAAGTTTGTTTTCCCACAGGCCCCTTAAATAGTGTAATAAAACCTATGTATTTAAAATTATGTTTAAAAATAAACAATTGCCTGCGGATTGCATAAACGTATAACCACACATTTAATAAATCAATAGTGAGATAATGGTCCTATAAACATGGGTTGCGCAACTTATTAATTAAATGGTTCACTAAAATAGTGAAATGCAATGGACAGTCATGACCCACAAAATCATGTCATTTAAGGGATTATTATAGCTGAGCAAATTTAGCTTACTATTGATTCATTAAATGTTTAGTGCGATTATTTGAGCAACCCTGAAACCGTCATTGGTGCCCCATGATTGGTCCATTACATTTTAGTTATGGGCACATGTTAGGTATGTTAAAAGTAGAAAAACTTGTGGGCAATCTTCTATTAAAATTTATATTGTAAGATATAGCTAATATGAAAACAATTTTTTATGAATTTCTAATTGAAAAATATTTTTTTTAATTTTTGGAATTATTGATGAATTTTTTTCAAAATTTGAATTTTAAATGCTTATACAAAAAGTTATGTCTACCCATATACCTTTAATATTTTTGAACGGCCATCAAAATAACTTATGAGGAAACTTGCATTAAATTTTCAACGTTTTTTACGAAGTAAAAAGATTTAAAAGACAATAACAATAATTTTTTAAAAAATTCAAAAAATTCTCATTGCAGCTATAAGAAGCAAAAGAAAGACAAAATATTTTCAACATGGAAACTTTTGGTGAAAATGTCAAGTGTTTACAGTTATTCAGTTTTGAAAACCGGATACAATTTGGTTTCAATAAAATATCAACAATTAATGGGAATTCGTTAATTTATCTCAGAATATCGAAATCGTAAACATTTTAAATTCAAACGTTCATAAAAAATTATTGTTACTTTCATGAGTTAATTAATTTTTTTGTGAAAGTTAGATGCGTATGTGGGTAATCTTCATTAATGAAATCTAAGTTATCAATAAAAATAATTATTGTAAAATCAATAGATATGCCATGGCTCGAAATCTCAAATGTAATAAAATATTATAATATATTATAATATCATATCATACAATAATAGGTATACAATTTAAACTGCAAGACAATAAACCATTTCGTGATTTGTATTCGTATTAATTGTTTTCTTTTTTTATGACAAAAATGTAATAAAAAAAATTCACAAATAATGAGACACAGTCGCACAGAGCGAATTTTTTTAAAGTTTTGAGTGCACCTTTTAATTGAGTAAGTCACTGTAATGGATGCGTTAAATTTTAATTCATTGATATACTATTGAATGTGTGTATACTGCATAAGAAATACAATTTTGAGGAGTTAATAGGTGCCATCAGTATATAACGACATTTTATGTATTTTATTTATTTTAGTAAATAACTTATTTATTTTTCAGTTACTAATACTGTAAATTAAAATAATTTTTGACACAAACACCACACACCTATATTAGGTATATCTGATTAATTATTATAATTAATAGTATCATACCATATAATATTATTGTTAATTGTTATGGTAACTATAGCTTGTAAGCCGATATCCAAAATACCGACGTACAGTGTGAATATGGTTATTTTTGTTTATAGATCAAAATTGATAAAATTTGAACTTCAAATTAGTCTAAATATTTGAAAAATGTCTTTGAGTGTATTAAAAAATAAAAATGATAATTTAAACAATAGTGGAATCTTTCGTGTTCTTATACGATTAATATTTTTTAAATGCGAATATACAATGTCAACAACATTTTAATTGCAACCGCTTTTAGAAAAATGTCGTCACTACAAATTTTAGATGTTTTTAAATTACCACAGGAAAAACTGATGTGGATCCTTATGTTTTATTTCCAAATTGTTTGACTTGAAATAAAAATAAAAATATCAACATACATGAAAAAAGTCTAAAACATCAAATGTCAATAAAAATCTCAAAAATAACCCAAAATATTGTTAGGTACGTAAATATTTCCGTTTGTATGTGATTTTTTTTTTTGGTTTATCTTTTCATATCTTTTTTGATTATTTAGAAAAATATTGAGTCCAATTCCAAGTTTAAAACTGAAGCCTGTTTCTGATTTAATTACTGTGACTCCGGGGACCAAGGACTTCTATAATCTATAATACTACAAAAAAAAGTCTTAAAGGTACCTACACTCATATGTCCATTCAAATGTACAACATGAAATCATGTTTGAAAATTCTTTAACAAGTACAGCAATAATAGTAAGTGGTACGCGGAAACGGCTCCAATTGATATTAGGCACTTATATTATTTTCCTCCTGATGTAGATACGTCTGCATTCGGAGCATTCACTATAATATTAGTGCACCCGGCGCATCTGCGGAACGCGATCGCGGTTCGCCCCGAGTTATATTTTATTACGCATATAGGGGTCCAACGACTGAAGAATATTGTAAATATTTAACGAATTTATGGCCGAACGGGGGCCCATTGTAAATAATATTATGGTCGTGCCGGGAACGTTGGCAAGTCAGACCGACAAAATTGAATATAATACACATACGTCATACACGATATGCATATTGTAATATTATAATCATGTTATAACTGTTGGGCACTATAGTCATTTTATTGTTTGACGTTCAGACGTTATGGCGGCGTGAACGTTTTCGAGTTCATACAAAATGATCCAACAACACAATAAATTATAATATTATGCATCGATTTATTAATAGTTGTTTGTGCGTACATTATAATATAATATTATTATGTTCACGTTGTGCGCTATCGCAACAACCGGGGAATGAGTAACAACTAATAAGAAACAATCACACCTACATAGGTAGGCAGGTATGAAATACTTGATAAAACAATAATAAGTATCCAGCTATGACATAAAAGCAAGTCAATAAAAAAGGTATTGGTATCGCAAACGCATTACGATTTGTGTACAGTAATAATTTTATTAATTACAACAGTAATAGTTACTCGTGAACTTTAATAGAACATAAAAGTTTGGCCGTTTTACGACACGCGTGCAAGTGGGTATAATAGAAATTGTACGTTATTCGTCGTATGGACTTTCCGGTTTTCGTTGGCGGCGGCTCATCGCTGTATGCTTTAGAAATTCCTATCGTAATAATTAGGTAATAAAATTATGGTGATAAACTGCCATTTTTATCGCAATAAACCATAGTTTCATACGACATTACGACGAACGCGACTTATGCGAGTCGGCCAGTGGCCTATATATAGGTATAATGTATCCACTACGTGACAATACACGGTCTCGGTTGGCAAGTGGGTAGACATGCGAAAACGACGGCGGAGTAGGAGAAATCCGTAGAATGTTTTCCAAGGTAAGTGCACTCGGCAACACCGGCGGCGACACGAACGCAATTAATAATTCTATTACCTACTGATTGTTATCGAACGCCAGAGAACACCCGTCCGGTAATCGAATTACCCATCTAAATACGCCTTTACCCGAAACCCGCAGGTTTCGTAAGCTTTTCGCGAGTTCGTGACTATCGTCGGTCCGTAATATTCGACACGGCGTACATAACGAACGTTACCATAAAAGCAATATGCCACTTGGGTTCGGGTCAAAATCTCGAGTTGTCAAATGGTAAGTGCTTAAGTCGAGTGAGCCCAAGTGCATCGTCGTCGTCGTCGTAAGCAATAAGCATTTCCCGCAATGACGGATATAGAGAGCACCGCCAGCCGCGTGCAGTGCAATATGCATACCTACGGTGTGTCGGTGCTTACTGCTGGTTGCAAGCGGTCGCACAAACACGTATCGCCTGTCAGGCGTAGGATAAAAAATAACCAGAAACAATAAAAAAAACATCGTAAAACGCTATGAGTCTACGGCGATCGGGGGGGTCAGAGGAAGCCGAAGCTGATACGCGGTAATGGATCGCGCCGGCGGTGGCAGCACTGCGGCAAGCTTCGAACAACACATTGTACTCTTCGGTACCGACCACCAGTTATTAAACATTTCGCCGCCGAACTCGCCGGTACGCCGATTCACACGTCCCGACGTACGCCGTGCGCAATCACCCACCGCTGCCGCCGCCGCTCATCACCGCCACCGCTCTTCATCTCCACACCCGAGTGCCCCTCCTTCCGCCACCGCTGCACATCGACGCCGCCGCACGCACTGTTGTACGCTAAAAATGGCGTCCGCCGCCGTCTGATCGTCGTTGTCGCCGCCGCCACTGACGTCGCACCACGCAGCCTCATTCATGTTGTGAGTATAACAATATTACCTATTCCATCACGCTGTCGTTAATAGATATTATTATTGTGGTTATATTCCATGTTATAATTATTGTTATACGATCGCTGAAATCGCGTACTCTGACATGATTTTTTGTTTAAAAAATTATGTTTTTTATTTCCTCCCGACACAATAACAATATTGTGTCTTCGAGAATCGGTACTATTGTAGTCGTCGCCGCCACCACCGCGCTTATCGCGGCAAATGATTAACCTACCGTTGTTTGCACCGCACCCCCCACTACCACCACCGAATACTATTACCCGTCGCACTGTATGGCGTTCACCTTCACCTTCACGCTCCGTCACCGTACTCACCGGTCACCACTCTTATTATTATTATTATTATTATTATTATTATTATTTCCTTCGCCGCCGTACTCACTACAACAGCTGGTGGTCGGGGAGGTCGGTGTTGTGCGTCGATCACTTTCAAGCATCGCTGCCGCATTATTTCCATTCCCTTAATCCCCTCCGACGACGAACAAAAAACTCGACAGATTTTCTCGTCCGCGCCCTGCCATCCGGCGACCATTTTGAAAATGTATTAAGACAGAAAAAATCGATCGAACACGCGCTTTTTTTTCTTTCAATCTGATTTTTTCCCTCCGTGGGCCCTCGACCACCGCTCACGTATGCTTCCGGATATCAGTTTCCGGTCGGTGATACCGATGTTCGGAGGCTGCGACGTCGTCGTTTTTACCTAAATAAATAATTCTGTTGTATTTGTGGTAGGTAACGCTTACCGTTCGGATCTGATCTCATTACTTCGACATCTAATTGTTCGCATTAAATATGCTTATGTTATTGATTGTTTTATTGTGACGATCATCAATATAGTTGTATTATTAACTTCCTGTGACTTCGAGCAGTGGACAAACGCTTCGGTGTTTGATGCTCTAAGAATTCGTTTTAAACGAAATTTGACATGCGTTGTTGAGGACAGGATTGCCGAAATGTAAAACTTATAATAGGTTTTAAAACAGTTTTATTTTGATGAAACTATATACGCATTAGATGAAAAAGCACCAGTTTCGTAATTTTGTTTGTTGAGCAAATCAATTAATCAATTAATAAAAATAAATTAATAAATTAATTCAAAAAATTAATTAATAGTTTCTTTTAAATTTTAATACGCGCTTAGTGCTAGGAATGTACTAAGTGTTATGAATAGGTACTATTCTAATAATATAATTAGCCACGTAATAGGTATAGCACATAATATTTTCATTTTTTCTCTTTAAACATGTTTGAAACATACCTATCTTACAAGATATTGTAAAAAGTAAAAAAGTACTCAATTTTTACCCTATTAACATTGAAATTCGTAAAAAATATTTTATTAATAAATTATTGACAATAACTGTCTTTACGCTGACAATTAAACACTTTCAACTTCATACCTACCAAATTATGAATAGTAATACATATGATTATATATATGATACTATGATGGTATGTTATTATGGTTTATTTAATTATTAATGTAATAAGACAATATGAATTAAAATTACTAACCTATTTTAATAGTCAATAATTGGTATCTACTTACAGCTTGCTTTAATCCCTTAATTAATTTTTTCAATTGAAAATTGTACCTTAAATATTTAAACTAATGTAAAAGTATGTTGTTATAGTCAGTATACTAGGTTTAATATTTTATGTGGGCATGAAGCCAAATCGGTAGCCAATTGAGTAAGACTCAAAAAGGTTATGAGATCACAATCAAAAATTTTTTTTATAATTTTAATACCCAATGTCAATGTTTTTTTTTAATTACACAACTTAGTAGTCAGTACCTACATATTATTGTGATTAATTGAGTATTACTGTAAACTGATATTAATTATTATATTAACACATTTGCTGTACTGAATGTATACAGATTTTAACAGAATAATAATATGCATCATACAATATTACCAGCTTTCCTGTAAATAATCATAGAATTTAGATTGATTGATTGAATAATCCAAATCGAATAAAATTTATGTTTTAAGATAATCCATAGCCCACAGCCTCCCAAGAAACCTCCCAAGTTCTTTGCGTTTCAGTTTGCCAGTAATTTTGGCATTCAGCCATTTTAATTGTTTTTAACTTTATTTATATCAATAAAATCAAAGAGTTATTTATACAATTACAGCATTTAGGTATATAAATTCAGTAAATACAAATTGTATAAAACTGTTTTATTTAATTGTCCTTTTTATTTTTTGGCTTTTCTCTTTTATCGAAGCTATGAAGCCATGAATTTCTAACTCAAAATAATTGCAATTTTTTGAAATTTTGACAAATGTGGTGAAAACTTTAACTCCAGACGCTCATTAATAATGAATGTGAATTTATACACAACTTTTTTATTTAATCACACTACGCTCAGAATCTAAAATTCGAAAACTTGTTTTGCTATTGCTCTTTATTAGTTAAAGACAAATGTTTTTCTATTATCGAGGACGACTGTACAAGTAGTATAACGTTCACATTTTTAAAGGGTTTCTATATAGGTAATTTTATTGATTATTAAAAAAAAAACCCGTAACAATTAAAATATACTTAAAAGTGGTATTGTGTGCGGATAGATTGCTAATGGTTTTTTGCGAAGTTTCTAGTTACGAAATTATTTATAAAAATGTTTATTTAGGAACATAACTGTTAAAAGTGTTAAAACGTCATCGTGCTTTTATTAAACAGCGATCTCAAATTCGTTTTTTTAAATAACTGTTAAAATGTATTATTAAATATAATAAAATATGCTTTTGATGTAATAAAAACGCTACATGACTTAAACTTAATTTACCTTCTATTCATGATTCAATTTAGTTATTCTATTATGAATATAAACCAAGTGGTGGTGTGTAGCGGTTCGAAGCACATCGAATGAATTGCGTGTATACACTAGGTAGGTATACGACTTGCGTCTTACTCTCACTTAAGTGAATGTGTTCACTGATCACAAATTACGATACACTAAAAGTTACTAACAAGCGACGATTTTTAATTTGTAAATATATAGAATCTGAGTTACATAAAATTACGTGAGTGACTCGATAGTAGATAAAGATGAAAATTAAATTAAATTTTTGTTCAATAGTAAAACAACATGTTATCTTAACGATCTATAATAGAATAGAATAAATACAAATGTTTAAGATCATTTTGTCAATATCTTAGATATTTATAAAAAAAATTAAAACATCAATTCATCGAAATGTGTGACTTCAGACTCGTATATTATACGCATACCTACGTACGTATAAGCACTAAAACATATCCCAAGTAAAACATATAAAACATATACTAAGTACATATTATCTAGTACCTATAGTATTATGCAATTATATGGCTATAAACTTTAAATTATATGTGTAATATATATATAACTATATATATATATGTGTGTGTTACTAATATTTTAGATTTTAAACGGAGCGATAAATGTATTGACTAGGTCTATAACGATGTGTTTTTTTTTGTAATTAGGTACCTTTTGGGCAAGTAAAAATTCTTCAATTTTCTACTTCAGCATCTTTTCTGAGGAGAAATTAAATCTGATTGGGACTTAAGGAGGTCGAGAGTAAAAAATTCCCAATAGGTTTCAAAATCGTCGGGAAAAACGAAAACAAAAATTAAAGAAAAACTGAGATTTTTATGCAGTCAGTTTTCGATAAAATAGATTTTGATTTTTGGTGTAATTTAAAAAAATTACAGTACAAAAACTAATAACTGTAGATACTTGACATTCATATCAATTTTTTATATTGTCATCGTCTATAGGTACATGGTATAATTTTCAAAATATTTCGACTCGTTTTAAGCTATTTATAGGCATATTCAATTTTCGATTTTTATCAGTTTTGTTTCTATACGAATGTCAATAAGAATAATGGTTTTAGTTTTTGTGTAATTTAAAAATATTAATAGTGGGCACTGCACTTGTAATTTTTATAATATTTTATTTACACAATGATATTTTTGTATCAAAATGCAATTTTTTCGGCAAAAATTAAAATAACCATCCGTAGTACTATGCCTAATAGTAAAATAAATTGCTTTAATTATAATAATATCATCAAATATACTATGTAATATAATTATAGGCCAACAGTCTTCGCGCAAAATCAATTTCGTGGACAGTGGACACCCAATGTACCTACATCAGAGCATTGACCATTCGTCCGGATTTTATGATTAACATTTTAAAATAACCATCAAATCTATATGGTATCTAGGTTTTTGAATTTTTGAATCAGATTTTTTATTAGTGAACATTGACAACATTTTTTTTTTAAATTTTTAACAAAACATGCAAAACGGTTTTAATTTATAAAGTACGTAACAACATTTGTCATTTGCTGTAACTGTTGTATACCTATTGTGAAATACATTTTTGTACCTATTTTATTATAGATTTCATTTCATTTATCAGAATTTATATTCTTTAATATTAATTCATTTATTTATTGTAGCTTCTTAAGAAATGCACAAAGTTCAAAAATCTGGTAATCAGTAATCACGTTTCACGTATTAAAAACAAGTTGTTTTATGAATTTAATTTTAAATAATAAATAAAAATTGATTTATAATTTGTCTTAAAAATACTAGATTAAGCTGTTTCATAAGAAAACATGAAAATATAATAGATAAATAAATGTATTATTTGAATATTTTACACTCATGTACAAACCGTTTATATAATTATACTCAGGCCCCCACATCAAATTTCAGGACTCTGTAATAAATGTTTTTGAGGGATCTATAAAATATTATTTAATATTAAGTAAGTATTTCAATTAAAATTAAAAAAATTACAAAATTAATTTCCCCTAAAATAGCCTGCCAACTGAATTCCAGGTCCAACAGCCCACCTCCCCCTTGTGAATGTGGGTCATGATTGTACTCTATAATTAAAAATCTTTTGAAACAGTTGCATTAATGATATACAGTATACTCTATAGTTTATACCAGCGGTTCCCAACGTTTTTAGCTGTGTGGACCACCAATTTTGTAAAAAATCTTTGAGGCCCACCAACAGCTCACCTATATACATATGCATAAATATGTAAATATAATATACAAACTTCAGTTGTTAGAATTAAAAAAAATTAAAAAATCAATTGTTTATTATGAAAAACACTTTATTAAACTTAATCACAAGTTAAACAATTTAATGTGATTTTTGACATTACTTGTCCTTCATGAGAGAGTCAATATCGGGATGGAAATTGGATGGTTTTACAATTAAATCACGTTCAACATTCAGTTAATTCCTATATTTAACGTTAATTTATAATTTGACACCAATTTGACATTACAGAGTGTAGATAATATTGATAAATATTATTATAAACAGAAATATTATTAGGTATATACTAAAAATATGTAATAATATTATTTAAAATATATATATAATATTAAATATTATATATTTATATGGTGCACGGTCCAGTACCACACTGCTCGAGGCCCACAAGTGGGCCGCGGCCCATGGGTTGGGAACCGCTGGTCTATAACAATGTTTCTTAATCAATGAGTTCTTAAATGTTTTTGATGAATTTCAATTAACAAGCAACTTCCAAGATTTAAAAATGTAATTATATAGTAAAAACAATAACAACTAGGATTATATTTTTTTTTAGTGAGTCACCCATAGCAAAATGGTTTATTAGTATGATAATGGTGTTGCCATATCAAAAACGTTGAGCACATAAGTAGTAAACCATTCAATACAATTACCCTTACAATTACAAAATAATTATAATGTATTCTACAAAGAATAGTAATTTTTATATTTAATGCTTTTACATTTTTGAAAATAGAACAAATCATAGTAGAAATATTACATTTTCTTATCCTATGGCTCTTGTCTCTTCACAAGATCATAACAACTCCCAAATATTTTAAAACAAAAGTAGATAATTTTCATATTTAACAATTTATTTATCTTAACAATATTATGGATATCATTATTTTCTTATTTTTTTTCCTCTTTGGGTCTGTGGTTTCTTAAGCTCAACACTTGTGTCACCCCTGGAGCCTCATCATACAGTTAGAATACCTTTGAATTGTAGAGTGTCTTTTCTTTTACCAAGACAATAATATTAATTAATGAAGTGTAGAAAAAAAAACATTAAATAGTTGTATATTATAAAACTGACACATTTACATATCATAAATTATATGTTAATGTTAAAGTTGATGTATTGTTATTGCCATGTAAAAAAGCCATGCCTATCCGTTTTCAATTTTGTAATATACATAGTAATTTTTTTTAAATTTTTTATTTGATTAAAATACTTAATAATTAATAACATATTCTTTTTTTAACAGTAAAATTATTTTTTGATTTAAGACTTATAATGGCGACTAAAACTGAAGTTGAGAATGAAACAATTGAAAACCCGCTTGACAATCAAGATATGAATACAGTTTGTACAAATTTGCAGTATTGTGATGATAAAACTAATCTACACCCAACAAGAAAACGATGTGTCAGCACATCAATTCTGATAAGCTCATCGCCAAAGAAAAAAAAAAAAGAATGTCAAAATATAATACCACCTAAAAAGTTTTTGCTTGGTGGTAGCATGTCTGATCCTCTCAATTTAAATAGTCTCCAGAATGAAGATATTAATAAGTAAATTAAAATAAATATATATTTTATATTGTTGTTTATTTTAAATTATGCTAATGTATTATTTTTAAATTTTAGGGCAATGAATAAAACTCCAAAATCTTCTCCCTTACACTCAAATACAGTGAACATAAAAAAAGATCAAGTGAATGTTATTATTCCTCGAAATTTATCTGATCCATTGGAACTTAGTATGTGTAATGAAGCCAAAGCAATTGCATGTTCTGGCATAGATTCATTAAAACCGAAAACCCCTCAAAAATGTAAATCTAAAATACCGTTGTTAAAATCTTTATCTGATTCTGGTTTAATTACTGAGAACACCCCAGAAAAAGAGTAAGTTAAAGTTATAAAATTAAATTATAATGAGTTGAGGTTTATAATAATGTCACAAATTATTTTAAAAACAAATAGTTTTTCATATTTTATAAAATATTACTACTTAAAATTAATTTTAGCAATATTATGTAATCCTGTATCATCCCAATTATTATTTATTAATAGTCATTTTTTAATTTTTTTTTGTTTAGTTTTAAATCAGATTGTAATAATGAAATGAAAAGACAGGTAGAAGAAGATATTATTTCTTCGCCACCTAAAAAAAAGTTCAAAACTGAGTTGCCTGAAACCTGTATGTCCCAGTTTGAGAACAACAAAGTACCATTTGAAATAATTGAAGTTTTAGAAACTATCATAGATGTATTAGTGCAGGAAGTTCTAGTTCAGTCATTAGATGAATGTAATATTCTAATTTCAAAAGCTCCTGTTGAAGTGGTTGTTGAAAAGATACTCGAGCCATTCAAAACACTGCCGCCATCACCTGAAAAAAAAGTTGAAGACGGTAAGGAAAAACAAGAGCAGCGCGAAAAAATAAAGCCCGAAAGATGTGTAGTAAGTTCGGTTGTTATGCAGCCCTCATTTTCGGAGAAACACAGTGTACATCAGCAGGTCGTTGTTACGACAGCTAAACCAAAACAAAAGGTTAATAAAAAGTTCAAAGAAAAAAATGCATTGTTTAAATATGGAAATTATACGAGGTAAGATTAAATGTTTTTGGAAAATCAGAAAATGATTTACCCTATATCACCATGTATTTTAACGTAGTTAGAAAAGAGATGTCCAATCGGAAACACTCTTTAAACACTTTGAATGGATCAAAGGAGTAAAGGACCGTACCCTTCAATAAATAGCAGGGTATGATCTAGATTCTACATAAACTTTTTTTTTTGTTTCATGAGAACAGAACTGTTCTACACATTGTTTAGTAAAAATATGCAATTATATTATGATAATTGCTAAAACATAAAATATACTATTATATGTAATTATGAATTATTTTTGACTCGTATAATAATAATTGTAGTTATTATAATTTGTAAGGGTTATGAATTTATTTTGGTTTAATTATTATACTCTTTGAATAAATACAACTTTTTTAATTAGAACAACATAATATAAGACTTACATTGATCATCACATCACAGTATTATTTAATTTAAAAATTATTTGTTCTTACATTTTTTCTTCACTCTTTTCTAATTATCTTAGTGAATTTTATACAAACTAGTGTATAGTTTAGTTCCCTCCAATACATATTTATTTTAATTTTGGATCATTATTGCTTAACATTAGTTATCACAAAAATCTCTAAATCTTAAGACAACAATTTTTACTATACATGTTAACATGTTATATAATTTTACAGCAATTCAAAATTAAATACTTCATTAATTCTGAGTGAAACAAAGAGTGACTATTAACCTCATAACGAAAAATTTAAATTTTTTACCATTGCGACATAAGTACTCTCAAAAAATGTATGTAATATTTTACCTTATTGAGCATTGTTTTGGGCATTAACAAAATACTCAATTGCGCATATTAGGTTGTATAAATTAATGTTCCATGTTATTTAAGATTTATCTAATGATTATTATTGGTTGATACATTATGGAAGTAAAAAATATTATGTTCAATTAAAAGGTACACTGTAACTTAAACAGAAATAACGGTAAATAGCAAATTAAATTATAAAATCAATTAAAATACTACTATTGAATTCTTACTAAGTAATAACATTATTTAATCTGAATGTATGTGCCGAAATGATCATGAATCATGATAAAGATGTAATGACCTACTGCTTTACTTTAATATTATTGATCTACATAAATATTATTTCAAAAAACTATGTAAACTTTTGAAATAATTTGTATTAGCTCAACCTTGGATTTAAATTTGAATGAATTATTAAACAGATATGTGACATAGATATTTATAAAAAAAATATTTTAATGCAAATAAATACTTATTTACATTTCTATTGGGTATATATTTGCCAAACTTATTATTGTAAAACCAAATATTTTTTTGTTATAGATATTACGGTTATCGTAATCCAGATGATGAAGACAATAGACTCAAAGTCTTAGCTGAACGTATGGATTTATTTTATGGTAAGGACGTGTTGGACATTGGCTGTAATATTGGTCATGTTACTTTCAGTGTTGCCAGAGATTTTGGTGCAAAGTCAGTAGTAGGAATGGATATTGACCGTAAACTGATAAATATTGCACGAAAAAATGTACAGTATTACATTAACGATACAGCGCAGTCTTCCTCACACCTGTCCTCAAATTACCATTTTAAAGATTTTTCTTCAAGAGATCGTAATGATCCAGAATGTGATATAATCGAATCATTTCCTATATCATTACCTATGCTGTATGGTCCTATTAATTTAGCAGGTTTGACACTATCTGGACGATTTCCCTACAATGTCTCTTTTGTGCAGGTTTGTTAAGTAAAAAGTGTGTGGTAATTCCACAAATTTAAGTTTATAACAAAGCCATTATGTTTCAGGGAAATTATGTACTAGAATCTGATCTTTTACTTTCATTGGAAACGTGTAAGTTTGACGTTATCCTCTGTTTAAGCATTACCAAATGGCTTCACTTGAACTGGGGCGATGATGGTTTGAAACGAGCATTTAAACGTATGTTTGCACAGTTGCGACCTGGTGGAATACTCGTGGTGGAACCTCAACCGTGGAAATCTTATGGTCGAAGAAAAACATTGACTGTAAATAATATGATGATATTAATAATGTTAATGAAAGAGTAGAATATTTACTGATTTTGTTAATATGTAATTTTAGGAAACCATTTGGAGAAATTACAAAAACATTCTGCTGAAACCTCCTATGTTCACAGACTATCTGTTAAACGAAGTGGGTTTTGCCAACTGTGAAACACTTACTATGCCTCATAATCCATCTAAAGGATTTCAGCGTCCGCTCAAGTTGTATAGAAAGTCTAACATATTAGTAACTAGAAACAAACCAAAGTGTACGATAGTTCATCCAAATGAAACCCAAAAATCATAAACATGGTATTGATAAAATACTAAATACTAACTGAATTTGTTTAAGGCAATTAAAGTCTTAAATGTTATTGTTCTTAGCACTGTAATTTAGTAACTGGACCACATGTATTGACTTATTACCAAATTGTTATTTAATATTTTGTTTCTCGTAATATAAATTCTATTCATTGTACAATTTGTGAGATGAATAAATATTTTTTTATTGTTGAAAATGTATTGCTTATGCTTTATTTTATTTATTTCTTTTTCTTTTTTGTATAAAAGTATTTGGTTATGCTTCACTTACTCATAAAAATGACAGAAATAACACACTGCTAATTGCTTCTACTCATATGTGTTTATTGGGATGATCTTCATTCTTAAATATATTAATCCGACTTGATGTAAGAACCAACTCTTTGAATTCATATCATGACATAATAATAAATGTTGAACAACCATCATCAATTTATTCATGTGTTTCCAATATATTCTGGTTCATAATATTGTCATACTGAACGTACATGTTCCTTGAAACATATTTTGTTTTGTATTTATTTTATTGAGATAATGTACAGACAAGAAATACAAAATATTTAACTAACTTAAAAGTAAATAATGTTTTAATTGTATTTATTACAGTTTAAAAGTGTCTATATTAGAAGTCTAGAAGAAACATTTAATGTTACAACATTCTGCTTTAATTTTTATGAAAAAATATATGAACAATACTAAGTTAATTTAAATAATTACTATTTATTTTAATCAAACATACTATATGAACTTCAATTTAGAAATATAAGAAAATACTCTTTTCATATATATAAATTCTTAAATTGAATAAATTGGTTAAAAGTCACACACAACTGCAAAAGTATATGACAAAATGTGGATTTCTAAAAATCAGACAGTTTATAAACAAAATAATTTGTAGTTAGTACAGAAATATTCACTAATATTTAGAATAACAAAAGTGAATTATGAAATGTTAAAAATTATTTACCTTAGGCTTGACTTTGAGACGGTAATGGATGCAAACAGTTTTCCGACTCTTTAGCGTTGACTGATACAGCATGTTATGAAATTTGTTCATCACCAATATAAATATGTATTTTCAAGGGTATTTTTTGGACGTTAAACCCAATTACCAAAAATACCAGGTAGATTTAAAGCATTCATCACTTCACTAATGCTGAAGGCTGAGAAACAGCGATAAATCGAATGTTAGCAGTAAGTTGTTGATATGATCTAGATCCGAAATATTGTCACAGTCACATTGAAATTATCGCTAAAACGATTTTTAGTAAACCGTTGTTCTTGCTTTCTTGATCCCTCTGTTCTCACGAATGTCTCTTCGCAAAAACGTATTTATTGCTTTATTTACATTATTTTCAATTTTGATAAATGTTTGATAAAGCGATAACAAATTGATAACAAACTTTTGGTGGGAAAAATTTGGTGTATCATTTAGAGACAAGGGTTTGATAACAACACTTATCAATCATCGGGAAAATCTAAAATTTTGCATTCAAATTTTATTCGATTTCATTAGATACCTATGATAGTATTATGATGTTATAGTGACCGGCATTACCCAAACCGCAAACTAAGATCATAGTTTGTGCTCTAAACTCACCAGCTGTCATTCCCACATGTTCTACTAAGTCCGGTTGTAATGCCTAAACTAAAGTGTAAAGAAAAAAATGCAATATATCAATATGGAAATTATTGCAGGTAAGATTAAATGTTATTGCCTAATCCAAATATGATATACCCTATATCACCATGTATTTTAACGTAGTTAAACGATAAGCAATGTCCAAACTAAAAAATCTCTTTAAATCACTTAAAATGGATCAAAGGACCATCGAGGATCTTTCAATAAATTGCTGGGTATGATCTAGATTTTAGATAAACTAATATTATGTTAATTGCTATAACATTAAATAGGCTATTTTATTATTATGAAATATTTCTGACTGGTTTAATTGTATTTATAATAATTGATGAGAGTCAAAGATATATATTTTGGTTCAATTATTGTACTCTGAATAAATACAAATTTTCTAATTTGAACAACTTAGAAGACATTGATAATTATCACCATTATTTCATTCAAAAAATGTGTGTTGTTCTAAAACCTTAACTATTTTTCATTTTTGTAAAAATAATCTTAGTTAATTTTATATAAACTAGTGTTCAGGGTATTTCCTCCTAATACATTTTTATTTTTACTATCGATTATTTAGGTACTACTTAACATTAATTATTACAAAAATCTTAACACAACCATTTTTACTGTGCATATATAGTATAGATGTTAGACATCAAGTCATATTTATATTATGTTAAGAAGACACTATACCCTCATTTGTTGTCTCCATGTTACATATGTACTACATTTCAAATTTGTGTTCATACTTTAGTAGTAAATTTGATTATTAGCTTGGAGGATTTGTAAGGCTATTTTTTTGTGCAATAATGACTGATTTTAATTCAAATTTTCTTGATTAATCAAATTCTGTAATGTGGATTTAGAAAATAAGTTTAAGTCCCCCGAATTATCTTCTTTAAATCCTACCAAAAACTTTGGTTTTTACAATAGATATTTCAATTTTAAATTGAGTTCTAACCATTTTGAAATAGTAACATATCTACATGCTTAAAAATTGAAATATCTTAAAAATAACCGATAAATAAACACAGATAATGCTTACACCTTTATGTTTGTCAGCTGTTAAATTCACTCCAATAGAAGAACTAACATTAAAAAATTGATTCTTCTGAACACAACATTTCTCATACATTTATAAGATTGAGATCCAAACTGTTACAATTTGTGAGGGACTTAGAATAAAGTTTTTATTATAGTTTGAGTTAAGTAACATCCTCTATTAAATATTAACATGGTAAATATATACATTTATGTTAATTATTGATCCAACAAAAATAAAGTAATTGTCGGGCCATAAGAAAATCGCTGAGCCTTGTAAAAAACTTATTATTTTTCATTTAATTATGCAAATTAATATTATATAAAGTTAAAATTTTAACAAAATTGACCATTCTAGAACATTTGCAAATTATTTTGTGATTAAAAAATTTAAAAAGTCTAATTTTAATATGCTCTATTTAGGATAAGAATGCCCAAATGTGTGCATGAGTATACTCTATTTTAAATGAGTACATTATTTCAGATAAATATTTAACTTTTTTAATATGATTTGAACTTAAATTTGAATGAATTTTTCGAAATAAATATTTTTATAAAAACATTATTTTATTGTACATACTTATTTATTTAAATTTAAGTTGTGTACATATAATTAACCAATCTTATTATTTTAAAACTAAATATATATTTTTTTGTAGATATTACGGTTATCGTAATCCAGATGATGAAGACAATAGACTCAAAGTCTTAGCTGAACGTATGGATTTATTTTATGGCAAGGACGTGTTGGACATTGGCTGTAATATTGGTCATGTTACTTTCAGTGTTGCCAGAGATTTTGGTGCAAAGTCAGTAGTAGGAATGGATATTGACCGTAAACTGATAAATATTGCACGAAAAAATGTACAGTATTACATTAACGATACAGCGCAGTCTTCCTCACACCTGTCCTCAAATTACCATTTTAAAGATTTTTCTTCAAGAGATCGTAATGATCCAGAATGTGATATAATCGAATCATTTCCTATATCATTACCTATGCTGTATGGTCCTATTAATTTAGCAGGTTTGACACTATCTGGACGATTTCCCTACAATGTCTCTTTTGTGCAGGTTTGTTAAGTAAAAAGTGTGTGGTAATTCCACAAATTTAAGTTTATAACAAAGCCATTATGTTTCAGGGAAATTATGTACTAGAATCTGATCTTTTACTTTCATTGGAAACGTGTAAGTTTGACGTTATCCTCTGTTTAAGCATTACCAAATGGCTTCACTTGAACTGGGGCGATGATGGTTTGAAACGAGCATTTAAACGTATGTTTGCACAGTTGCGACCTGGTGGAATACTCGTGGTGGAACCTCAACCGTGGAAATCTTATGGTCGAAGAAAAACATTGACAGTAAATAAAATGATGATATTAATAATGTTAATGAAAGAGTAGAATATTTACTGATTTTGTTAATATGTAATTTTAGGAAACCATTTGGAGAAATTACAAAAACATTCTGCTGAAACCTCCAATGTTCACAGACTATCTGTTAAACGAAGTGGGTTTTGCCAACTGTGAAACACTTACTATGCCTCATAATCCATCTAAAGGATTTCAGCGTCCGCTCAAGTTGTTTCAAAAACCTAACATATTAGTAACTAGCGAGGACTAAAATATATATAGATTTAATTCATGATAACTATAAACGAACTAATGTGTTAATAAGATAGATGTTGAATAAGATGTGTTAATTGATAATGGTTCAAACAAATAAAACCCAATAATCTTAAATATGTATGTTATTGTTCTTAGCATTGTAATTTAGCAATTGTGTATATTATATTATGCACCACATTTACGTATTGCCAAATTGTTATTTAATATTTTTTATATCTCATAATGTATATAAACCCGTTCAGTGAGGTCAAAATGGTTTTAAAGAAAAGAAAAATATTATTTTTAAATGTACGAGTGCTATACGATCAGTAAAATTAGACCATTTGTTTTATTTTATGATTGTTGATTGCAAATTATATGATATGATGTACTTTTTAACAATACAGTTGAGCTGTATTTCAACATATACATTACTATAGTTCATAAAGTCTAGCTTTAAGTTTAGCTGCTAAGCTACTACATGAAAACATTTTTAATATGCAATAAAAATTATTTATTATTCATAAAAATTTCAAATTAATTCAAAGTTCCAAAAAAAAAACTTATTTTAAGTTGTTATTAATTTGCTCTAAAAGAAATGTAAAGTTTGGAAAAATAAATGTATAATATTTAAAATATGATGTTAAACTGCCATTTTGACTTTAATTGAACCGAAAAATAAGTGCTGCATCAGGTGCGATGAGTATGATGTTGCCAACTATAGAAAGTAGAAACATGATTGGTGGTGTCTTACTATCTAAGTAAACACAACTTATCATTATAATATATTCATAGTAGTATACTTTTTAGTGATCAGTCTACCAGTTCTTGCCACTGTCCAATATATTTCAAAGATCTTAACCTACTTGAATTATGTTTACAAATAAGTGGTTATTACATTAAGCACTAAATTCAACTAAAACTGTTAAATAGTATGTAATAATAATATATACACAAAAGAAGTACAGCATTAATGCATCAATATCAAAATATTTTTTATTTTACAGTATAATTTTAAAAGTTTGTACTAAAGTGTAATTTATGAAACAGCTTAATATAGTATGTTAGACAAATCATAAATTAATTTTGATTTATTATTTAAAATTAAGTTCATAAAAAAGTTGTTTTTTATGTGTACATTTTATCAAAACTTGAACTTTATATGCAAATCTAATTATATAAGATGATTCGTCATTAAATAATAAAAAATACGTCTTCAGATGTATAGTCAAATCTATATCATTTAATGTTTTATGAACATCAGACACAGATTTAGGAGTCGAAGGAAGAGATTTTTTCTATCTAAAGAGCATAGTATATAGTTTTTCGTAATAGGTGCTGCGGTTACATCAGATATAGTAATTAGTAACATCAGAATTAATCATGTGGTTGTTTATATCTGTTAAAATAATTTTCCTAGAATGAACACTTTTATCTTTGACAGTCATAGGCTTACATGGGGCTGTTATATTTTGTCTTCGCAATAAATGTACATTATTTGTGATTATGTGCATCTATAAAATTTAAATTTGAATCCTGTTATTATTATCGGAGTAATACGAAAATAAAAATTGAATATTGAAAAAAACTGTTAATTTGTTTTATACCTACATTAGGTAAGTACCTACCTATATTAATATTTTTCAATTTTATAATTTAATATTTATACTTTAAAAAATCAAAATAAATATTTTTGCTGTGCATTTTTATTTGAACATCACAACCGTTCAACATTTTGAGAAGAAGTATAAGCCTATAATATAATATAATAATAATATAATATATACTATGTAGCTCTTTTCTACAATCATTTGTTTACCTCTTGCTTGTCGTAAACTCCATCTTTTATTAATTATACTCAAGTTAAAAATAAACAAAATACAGACAACAATTTTAGGTAGGTACCTATGTAGTGTAACGTAAATAGGTTGTAGGTACCTAACGAATATCCGATTAAATCACACTGTGATCGTTTTTATGACTCCTCCATTGATTTGACTAATAACGATATTCGATAACGGAGGTACTTTACTTATTAACAACTTATTAAAAAATAATAAAACTGATGTAAACTGTGTTTTCAGTCTAACTGTAATACACAAAACTTTAAAATGTATAGACTTATAACAATCACTTAACGCATGACATATCTTTGAAATAATATATTAATTAAACTAAATCGCTAATGCTAATTCCTGGTGGCAGTGTATGAACTTACATTCGCCCTTTTTCTATACACTATGGTCGTTGCTTGACTACGACTGTTCTAAGATGGAGACCAGAAGTACGCAATTCCGAAGCCTTTTTTTGCGTTGATGCGAAGCACTGCCCGATCGATAGTATTATTATTATTACGCGGTCGACACTCCGCAAGACCGAGATACATATCATAGCAGGGGTGGCCAAACTTTTTTTGGTTACGATTTACTAAAAATAGACTTCACCTTTGAGGCTTTGAGAATCGACTTTCATAGAAAATTTTTTTAACTATACAGATAAAACTTATCGATAATTTATTTGTTCATTACACCCTCGATTAATTTTCGTACGCGTGTCCCTAAAAATAAATTGTAACATGATCGACTTTGAAATTGTCCGCGATCGACCGTTTGGCCGCCCCTGTAACTAAAGAGTATAATATTATATTATTATATTAATACATGGGCGAATTATCCTTATATTTACTAACCCATTATATTATGATGATCTTAATAACAATTGACATCGAAATCAAAAAACTGCCAGTATTGTATACTTCGTATGTTCTTGAATATTACACTATCCTCTAGCTTTTCTCGTCGTATTCGGCACTGTCGATGCACACCAGATGAAAGTGGGATGACGATTCCATCACGGCCGATCCACGTGAAATACTTGCGCTCAGGCGGCACCGCGGTTTAAGATAGAATGGTTGCGTGCCGATATATGTTAAGGCGTTAAGCTTAGGTATTATTAATTTACTGACAGTTGTGACATCTAGTCTGTTATCTATACGACTATATTATGTTCATTTCTAAATTGTACTAAAAACAGTAATTGTATTTTACAATGCATTTTAATAACATGTTTATTTACTTATTTTAATCTCTCATAAGTGTCTCAAATATTCATGACCACTAGATCGCGTTAAGAGGTAGTCAATTTACATTAGAACTTTCTACTGCCACTCCTTATCGTCCGACGGTTAGGCCCATAGGGAAATCGGGATTTTCTTGGTAGGCCCCCATCAATATTACACCCAGAGGCCCCATCCCCCCTTAAAAAAAAAAATAAATAATAATATAAAGTACATTTTTATACCGGCTGACGCCCTGGCCGCTGTACAGCATTAATGCGTGATTGTGATATTTGTATACTCTACTATTGCCTAGAGGCCTCTGTATAAACTAGTCGATACTCGTATAAACACATATCTATTTTGTGGTATGTACTATTGTGCTGAAACTAAATAATGTATAAAATGTAAATATAAATAAAGATAATCGATGTTCGAATAACAAAAAAAAAAAAAATGGATCAAGATTTGCTAAGTGTGCCAACAATAAAACTCAAAAGAAGTTGAACTTTTTTTGATGTACAATATATAGTCGCTAGGTCTATGTGGTTCTAATAAATATATCCTGGTAAAAAATTACCTATCCGCCCATGGTTCGACGCTCAACCATCACTTTCTATCTTTCACCGTGGCGTTAACTGGCTCTGTGATCCTCTGTGATCTTCGTGCAGGGCAACCCCTTTGTCGATCATCGTCTTCAACAGTTCGGAAAAACTCTAAGAACAGCGGGCTGCACCTGGCCAACAAGATATTATCGTACAGCCGCAGATCGTTCTGTGTGTTGACGTTGTAAATTTGTAATCGCCGATCAACACTTGAATCATGCCGTAAATGTCATCATTGAGGTGCACGTTTATATGTGTGATCAATGTGCGATCGAAATATCGAACAGCGCATCAGGTCATCGGATGCTAACGATTTCGAGGTGAAGATGATTTTTCCATTCAACCCGTCCCACGGTGGCTTAGAATAAGTTCATAATGGGACAAAATTATTTTTTTGCGTGTTTCACTTGATTTGGGTTTGTAAAATTCTTAAAAGTGTAGGTATTAACTTCAAAATCAAAACTTATTGCTTCAATTTGTGTTTTTTTAATGTAATGTATAGTCTATACACATATGAATATATTTGAAATGTATGTCTGTGTATTCGGGGCTAATATTTTGGTATAATTGTCCTTTAGCTACCACGCTATTTTTTTCTAAAAATAAGATGACTTGTTGATATTTTAAATTCTGATTTCGCCTTTATATTTGTGTTGGGTTAGTAAAGTACGAAAAAAATCAAAACTCGTGATAGGCGCGGCACGCAGCAGTTAAGTACAGCGCGTAAGTAGTGCTTATATATGTGTACAATCGAAAGTCGTACACTTTGGAAGGATCTAACTTCCAAAATAATGATTTGAGCTTTTTTTTGCACTGTTTTTTTTAGCTCCTTGAAGTACACTTGTTTCAATAAAGAAAAAAACTAATAGTCGTGTGGCAGCAAAATTACAATTTTATCAAAACATTCAGCCCAATTCTAAAAAAAAAAAAAAGACTAATACATTTTGTGTAGTAACCTAGTGAAGTATAATTAATAACAAGTCAATAGGCAGATAGGTTTTTTTTAAATACAACCCACTAATCACTAATGTTATTAGATATTTAAGTTGAATTTGAAACACAAACGTGACAGGGAATAGGTACCAGTCATTATGAATAGATCAATAACATAAGAAAAAAGTGGGTACACACTACACTCTACATAAGGATTAGGCATATAATATAGCTAGTCACTGTAATGGATGTGTTAAATTTGAATTCAATGATATAAAAACATGTGTTCGAAAAATGATTCTGAGCGAAGATGGTTGTCTGTTGTCAGCCCATAATATGACTAACTATATTTTATGAAATTGTGATTACCTACTTACTGTAATTTATTTTACTATTAGGTATTAGTGATTAGTATTACAACAGTGGGTTTAATTAATTTTTACAGAAAACACTGTATTTGAAAATGTTATTGAAACATATTATTATGTTGTTACACAATATCATAATATTTTATAAAAGTATTAAGAACCTAATAATAATAT